CACCAAAATAAGTCCATTTGAAGAAATAAACTCTGTATAACCCAGTTTTTCTTTTTTTCTTTTTTTTATAACTATTCTCAGCTTGGTTTGGAAGTAAAGAAGTGGGGCTATGAGTAAAATAGGTTGGGAACCGCTGATCTGCACACTGAATGCATTTACTGAAGGGCAAAGTCTAGTTCCACTGCAGAAAAGATGCGATAATTGAGATTAATGTGCAGAGAAGCAGAGCAGGAGGCGAAGGATAGAAGGAGAACAGGTTAAACATTAAACCTGCTTTTAGTTTGTAACTGAAGGAACATCTACACAGAACATGTCTTCCTATTGCTCAGAAGGCTCACAGGGCAACTCGGGACCCTGATAACTGCAACATCACGTTGCAGTGCAGCAGTGGTAGATGCTGACTAAAGAGTCAGGATTACTGCTTATATTAGCTTTGCTGCTTTAGTCTTTGCACACAATTCTTCTTATATTTCTGTCTGGTCCGAAGCGTTGCATAATGATATATTTTGGTTGGCGTACGATTGTGAGCGACAACAAGTTATATCAGGCTGCACCGTTTCTGCACGCCTCAACTGGGGAAACGGTTCCATTAGCTTAACAAGTGCTGCTGCTTGATTGCTGGAGAATCAATACATCTGTGTGCTGGATGCATCTGTCACCCTGCTGGTAGTGATTTGTTGTTGGCTGTTGGCAACAAATGCTTTGTACCTGCAGGGCCTCTTAGCATGTGTGGATGTTTGTGCTCTGGGAGATGAACTACTCTGCTTTTATAATATGTAGAGAGTCATGGATTCAGAACTTGTTCCAGTTTTTCTCGTGTGAAATTTTGATTAAAAGGATTTTTCAGTTTGCGCTGCTTAAAAAGGCACTGTCCTGTGTAAATCTTCTAGTTGAATTTAAAAAAATGGACTTTTCAGAAGCAAAATACAGATATGATTAACTGCAGGTGAAGGGGAAAAAAGAGAGAGTTTCRTGGAAGATGAGTTACTTTAGGAAGAGTGAGTCATCCACAAAGTTTGAAGTTTGAACTAAAAATATGAACGGTTGGGTTTAGCCACACGTTTTTTTCAAAAGCACTCGCTCACAGTTTCCCTTTATGACTAATTTGTTGGACYGTTCAGCTCATGTAAACACAAACATCATGTATCATTCAGAAAAAAAAACTTGATGTGAACGTCTGTTTCCTCAGGAACAATGGCCGTCCCTCCAACATACTCAGACCTAGGAAAATCTGCTAAAGACATCTTCAACAAGGGCTTCGGTGAGTTAAACTTTATGCGTACTTATGTGTTTTCTATAAATCTGTCATGTCACGCAGGCTGTTTGAATATATCATTAACCTTATGCCCTAAAAGTTCATTTTTGTTGCGACGTTTAGAGTCACTCCGTGGAGCAGCAGGATGTTTTYCAGCTTTTCTTTGTAGTTTTGTTTAATTTCCTGCTTGCCTTTTCTCCCCCAGGCTATGGAGTTCTGAAGCTGGACATCAAGACCAAGTCTCAGAATGGTGTTGTGAGTACGATTCACGAGTCTTCAGTTTAGTTATCAGTGTCTGTGTGGTTGTAAACCTGTGTAATGAGTGCTGGCAGTCAGATTATTTTCCTTGCTATAAACTTTAGAACAGTATTTAAAGAAAWCCACAACATTCCTATTGCTTCTATTTTCTGCAGTGCTTTTGTCTAATTTAATGAGCACGGTCAAAGTCAGTATTTTGCAATAGGGACGTCCCGATCAGATACTCAGTATCGGTGGCAGATATGGCCATTTTTTGAAAATCGGGTAGAATCAGATTTAGTCATGTGATCGGGCCGATCCAGTTTTCGCGACAGTTTTCAGCATCATCATGCTTTACAACTGCTGTTAAGAAGTCAAGATGAACACAAGTATGCAACCATGTCCACAGTGTGGGAACACTTTTCAATGGAAAACAATGATGC